ACAACGAGAGATTAATTAATCTTTCTCTGCCACGCATGTTTAATTTTGTTTGCGTGTAATTTAAAAATAGATAATACACATAGTCAAACGATGTATTCTATTTTACATGTAAACTATTTTACTGCCCTAAACTTTACATGCAATCATTTTACATGTAAAGTTTTAATGAGTAAACTACCAAACGAGCCCTAAGAGAAAACTTTCATTTCCAATTCCGCCCGTTCTCTTCCAGTTTACACTTTACAGGTATCGCTATCTGCCTATGCGTATATTGTGAGCAGGGCCGGCCCATGGCATAGCATGGGTAACCAGCCCAACTGCTATAGATATACTGCGGTAGTATTACTATAACGCAGCCCATGTGCAAGAAAAGAAAGGCCAAAAGTCACTAAAAACAATTGCGGGCAACCCAAGAAAATTGAATTAGTAAATACACCCGTTCTTGAATAAATGCAATATGTGGAACCTTATACTATTTGCATATTCCACTTTGACTAGTTTATTTATTAGTGCATTAACAATTTATTTTAAAAATATATTGTTAAATTTGTTTCATCCTAAATTTTTAAACACTGATTTTGTTTTTATATTTTTTTAGTGAAAGAGAATAAAAGAAACTAATGGTCAAATTTGTGCAAGACAAACGTGAAATGTTAACTGTTGCATTTATTTAAAATGGAGGTTAAATAAATTATTTATCTTCTAAATTCCGTATGTATTGTTCATATTCTTTATGATCATGTAATTGAGTTACTTAGTTTAATTATTTTTTGACATGAGTAATTTATAATTCAATTTAACAAATTAATGTTACTATTTGAAAAAAATGACATGTGTATTACTTATACAATTTTTCCGGACAAAAATATGACTAATTATGTTTTTGAAAAAAATGACTAGTCTAGTCATTGTGTACCAGTAACTGAACAAAAGTCACGATAACGTATTTTAGAGTGACAAGTCGCTGTAGATGATGAAGCACTGAGAACTAGTCACTGAATATGTCACGTTTTTGAAAATTTTAAAGTAAGTCATATTTTAGTCTTTGGAATTTAATTTATTAATATTCAAGGAATAAGCCTTATTACATGATTAAGTACTTATATTTATTATGTAACAAATTAATAGAACTAGGAAAATGACATGATTATTTAGATAATAATTAAATGAAAAAAAAGTCAAATAAGTTCTTCTACTATTTTCAATCTGTCACTTAAGCCCTTCTACTAAAAAGTATCATATAAGTACAGTTTCTTTACAAAATTGATCGGGTTGACCATTTAATACGTTTTTGACCTATAATAGCAGGTTTTAATATATTTTTTTAAAACTGTGAAAATTTTCAGAATATCAAAGTCAATATTTTTTAATTTTAAAAATATATTCTACATCTATTTAAAAGGTTTTTTTAGTTTTTTTTAGTTTTTTATTTTCAATTTAATTTTTCACTTTTCTAATTTGTTAATTATTTTTTATTTTAATGTTTTTAAAATTTATCTATTTTTACATTTATACTAAGGATGTTTTTACTTGGACTGTAATTTGCTGGTCTGGTCTGGTTTTTTTGTATTTTTATAACTATCCAAGTCTGGTCTGGTCTGGGACGAATTACAGTCCAAGTAAAAACATCCTAATTTCATATTATTAATAGATTCTTTATTCAAATTTATATGATTTTTTGTAAGATTTATCAATATTCCTAATTTAATTTTTAAGGAAATAACCCGCTATAGCAGATCAAATGGCTTGATTGATTGTATTGTAAAAGTACACGTACTTATATGTTGTTGTTTTTTTTAAATAGGAGGGCTTAAGTGATAGATTGAAATAGTAGGAGGGTGTATTTGACCCTTTTTCATAATTAAATAAAGTAATTCCAGTATATTTTTAGAAGTAACTTTGATATTTATACTACCTCCGTCCCGGTGGACTTTGCCAAGTGCAAAGTAAGTGAGAAATAAGAATAGTAAAAACTGTGTGGTTGAGATTTTGTGCAGAGGAGAGTGAAATGTGCAGAACCACAAATTAATTACTTTAATAAGAAAGTGACAAAGTTTTTTGCGACAAGCAAACAAGGAAAGTTGACAAAGTCAATGGGACGGAGGGAGGGCTACGTACTATTTAAGCATGAACGAATCCATGGTTATGCACTTATGCCAAGAGGCCGGCTTAAGTATCAGATGTCCTTTGCTTAATCTTATTTTTACGTCACTAGATTTCTCTTATAGTTTTATGTCTATCATAATGAACTCTATCTTCCACTTAAGGTCTGTTTGCAACAACTTCTGCTTTTTAAAAAGTGATTAAATAAAAGTTGGTAGTGTTTGAGAAAAAAGTGATTTTGAAAAGTAAAAGTGGGTAGTGTTTGGTAAAATAAGTGTTTTTTGTGTAATAGAAAAAGTAAAAACACTTTTGACGCGGAAGCCAAGAAAAATAAAAGTTGTAGTGTTTGGGAAAATAAGTGCTTTTTTAAAGTCAAAAGCTGAGAAGTGCTTTTTTATTGCAAACCAACTCTTACCCTTCTCGGGTCAAAAATTAGTAGTAGCCCTTTTCTTAAGATTCTTAACATTTTTATTTTCGTTTATATATGTAAGAACTAAGAAGTAATGAAGACATTGATTTTGCATTCTTGGCATAAAAGTTGATTGTAACAAGTAGCAACTGAGACCATTTGATGGTGAGGTATTAGGAGTCAAAGGTTAAATGTGCAACTTTTGCACTCCTAATTGTGTGTAGTGGGAACTGAGAAAGAGGATGGAGGGGTTAAATGTAGAGGGTGAGTTGAGAGGAGTGGAAAGAGGGTGAGTTGAGGCCACATCTTTGCTTTTGGTGTGGATGACGTCATGTTTACATCATCCTTGCATCATAATATCCCAAATGTTTTAAACTTATATAACTTTTTTTATCTGTTCTCCATTTTTTTTAAAATATACTCCCTTCGTCCCCATATTATAGTCCTAGTTTTTATTCACTTGATCAACACAAATGACTCTTAATCTCTTAATTCATATACAGAGTATCAAATTTTTATCAAATTATTCTGTGTTTTGCGATTTTGTAAAATTTTTAAAATAGTTTTTGAATACTTTTTAACATTTTTTTCCTAAAATAATTTGAGTGCGGACAGAGATTCGTAAACCGCAATGGAACAATAGTAGAGGGACAGAGGTAGCATCAAAATTCATAAAATTTTATGATCTTTTATATGACACCAATATGTAATATATAAATGAAAAAAATGAAATTTTAACTGTTGAAGTTTTCTTGATCCCCAAAAAATACGAAACACAAATTTTTAATGAGAAATTGCCCTAAGAAAGTAAACAACTTAGAGAATTCCAAAATAAGACCGTTATATTTTCCCCGAGATAGGAGTCATTATTGTCATTGAAAAATATCGTCATTAATTATAATAAATACAACCATGTTGAATACATAGTACTACAATTTGACAGTCGTGATGAAAAGATAACAGTGAATATTGTTATATTACTCCTATTATGAAAAGAAAAACATATGAGTTCTTTTTTGAAATTTCAAACCTTATTTAGTCTTATTTTGGGAAATCTCCTCACATTTTTAATTCACGAAGTCTTCACAAATAACTGAATACTTTATAATCGAACTTTACTTGAACTAATTTCATTTTTTGTTAATAAAAAAACGTGGACTTTATTTATATTTACATTGAAATGTGTACTTTTTATTTCATAATTATTTAGGGAAAAAATTAAAAGGAAAACATTACTTATACGTTGTAATAATTTAATAATGTTTTACTAAATTGGTATATAAAAACATATGCTGAGTGTATATTGGCGGTGCTGTAATGTAAGAAATAGAAGTTTAAAAACTATTTTCATATGAACGAAATCCGTTTTTAACACTTTGACCTTTCCACCCCTACAAATGATCTAACAAGAATGTCAACTGCCAAGTCATTGATGATGAAAGTTTTATACACGAGTCGAAAAAAGAAATTACGACAAAGATCTTAAAAACTTTTCTCCCTATCATAATTACTTCCTCAATTGCTAAAAGTTTTCAGCCACTCCCAATTTATTCGTTCTAAAACATTTTTATTTAGACTTTCCATTGAATAAAATTAAAGGCACATATAATTTCAACTTTAGTTCAACGTTTTCCCATTCATAATTTGCTTACTGTTTGCTTAAAAAAAGTTGCTTACGTAATACGTAGTACTACGTATCTTTTATTGCTCAATAACTACTATTAATTCATTTTAGACCCCAATTCTAAAATAATACGGAGTATTAAAAGTTTTGGATACTAAAAATAAGGGAAAAGTGTCAAATAGGCCCCATACTAATACGAAAAAGCCAATTAAGCCCCCGAACTAAAAAAACACCCAATTAAACTCACGAACTATAAAAAACGAGGCAAAACAGCCATTTTAGCATGTAATTAACCGGTTCCCGGTTCCATTAATCCACGTGTCACACACGTGTTGCCATTTGTGGCCACCTGTCGACTGTCTCCACGTGTAAAGGTTTACCTCGAATCGGTTAATTACATTCTAAAAGGACTGTTTTGCCTAGTTTTTTATAGTTCGTGGGTTTAATTGGGTGTTTTTTGAGTTTGAGGGCTTAATTAACTTTTCCATATTAGTAGAGGGCCTATTTGACACTTTTCCCTAAAAATAATAATATTTCTGTCACATATTTCAATCGTAATCATTATTAATAATGTATAAAACAACTGCTTTCTATTTAAATCTACCTATTTAAATCTACCATCGTCTGATCAGCATTTGCACATAACAAGCATGTACTTCTGCAAGTACCGGGGACAGAGCCCCACTCTCTATCTCTCAGATTGTGATTATAGTCCAATTTACATCCTCCCATCGTGTCGTCCGGTCGGTGTTCGGGGGCCCTCAGGGATGAGGTGTCATCCTTTTTTTACATAACAAGCATGTAAAAACAACCAACCATTATGTGTTGTACGATACTGCAGACTGCTAAGAATGAGACTTGTACCACGCTTGAATCACATGACAATTATGTGATTTACAAAATTTTGTACAATTTTTGTAGATATCCATATGCGATATTCACTTATACAATGTCCAAAAATCAGATAAATTTTCATCACCAAGTAAATGCAACGTAGTACATATGAATGTATACACAAAATGCTTCCCTAACTTTACTACTTCCAATATACAAAATCCGACTTACAAATAAGAGACCTTAGAGTCAATTACATCTATTTCACCTAAACTTGGATCACATTACGAAATGGTCCCTGGCAATTCTGAAATTATAAAAATAAGGCCCTTTACTGACCAAGATAGCTGCAAGTTTCATGAGGTGTACAACTAGATTCAGACTTGTGTGCTTGTAATACATCTCCACTGCCCTACACGAGGCCCCTTATACAAGAGTATTAGCAAACCCGGATAGCTGCCCGACATTCCAAACATGTACCTAGAAGATAGAGACAAGTAGACAACACAAGTAGTTTAAGTACAAATAGTACGGAGTATTTTCACTGGAATCAATATTTTAATCCTTTAAGCGGAATGCCTAAACAAATAGCAACTTCGCCAAGGAATCACATATTATGGCAGAACTTTGGTGTGATCATATCATGCGGAATAGATTTTTGAAGTTAAAGGGAAAAGGGCTGCGTATGCACAAAGGAAGAACATAGGCTCCATGTCATGATAGGCATGCAGTAAAGGAAGAACATAGGCTCAGAAGTCAGAACATATGCACAAAACCGTTAAAGTCACCCTCTTATCAAAGAGAGTCATGCAGTGTATGTAACTGCAGCAAAAAAAACATGTCCAGACAGTTCAAATTCCATAAATAAATTTGAGAACGATGAAGGAGCTACCCACTTGCATCGGCGCGCTCTTGTTCTCCAGAAGAAAGAGGGTATCATCCACTGGATACAACAAATTGAAGAAATATCAGCAAAATGAAATATTAGAACCAGACTGCAAGCCAGATAGCTAATCTGTACAGTAATACTCCTAAAAGATAAATGACACCTGAATTACGTACAACAGTCATAAAGTTTACTCCGTCCACACCAAAAAAGTTTGCTAACTTTCTTAACTTGCCTATGTAAAAAACTTTGTCATTTTCCCTTAACAAAAGAAACTATTGGTTTATAATAAATCTTTCTAAATAATTCTCAACCACACAATTCTTAATAAAAATGGGCGCTTGGTTCCTGGAACCTATGATTACCTTAGGCAATAATGTAGTAGGATTACGTTCACGAAAGTAATGTGAGATTATGGGAATCTAATACCTTAAGATGTTTAGTTCAATATAGGTTACATTACATGTGTTGCTTAATTGTTATGCATTGTAACTGTGTAAGATTGCTTACGGTAATGTATTAAACTATTACTCCCTCCGTCCCATTAGAAGGTTCCCACTTTCCTTTTTTGGACGTCCATATAAAGGTTCTCATTTCCATTTTAGGAAACAATTAACAATCTTAAGTGACAAATTAATCATTAAATATTAAAAATAATACATTTATAACATCACAGTTATCAATACTAACTACATTATAATATATACATATTAAAGTTATTCTCCAAAATATACTTGAAGCACTTTATTTAATTATTGCCTAAATAACCGTGCCGCTTTGTGCTATGGGAACCCTTCTAACGGGACGGAGGTAGTATAACTTTTCCCAAAGAAAACCTGGGCAATTATATCTTTACCCGCAACATTACGTCATTGTCCTACGTACTCCATAAAAGGTTAGATATGATTCATATCATTACCTTGGTCCTTGGTAATCTGGAAAGCTGACAAAACAAGGTAATCTCACATTACCAAGGTAATACGAGATTACTTAAACACCAAACTCCTCCTGAGGATCATCTAAAAAATCCTACTGGAGTCCAGAACAAGATGTGAGCATTCCTAGTCCACTAACTAGTAAGAGAAAAAGTTGTGCTTGCAGAAATCAGACATCTAGCTATACGTAGAATCGTAGATTCAGGGGCCTCTCAAAGATGATACATCTTCATCTTTAACTCTTCACAATTTAGGACAAGCTTGAGACAAAGTCTGTGAGTTAGGACAAATAAAAATCATTAAATTAGAGGACAGTTATATGGCTACATGTATCATGAAGTTAGGGATGGGAATGTGAGGACTTTGGATCAGGGTGTCTACATCAACCACCACGCACCCTACATTGGGTTGGAATTTTTAACATCCAGCACAACCCACAGCAGGGTAGGATCCCACCTTGTGTATTGACCTCAATAGTATGGTAAACAATTAAGTCATTCTGAGTACTTGTTGGATGTTCAGTTCAATGAAACCAAATATTGAAATGTAGTCTGGCAAAAACATTTTTTATCATCTTAGACATTTATGTAAATATATAATTACACATTTTTTATCATCTTAGACACACACACACAGACATAAGCTAATGTATCATATAAATACATATTAGATGGCAGAGGGCCGCAGAGTATAAAGTAGAACATGCCAGTGGCATCGTGGGTGTCTTTTTGAAATCCAAGCCTAAACCGCCATTCACCCATGTGACTTTTTAAATTCCAACCTAAGCTGATTTATGTGGAGGACGTGGCATATCCATCTCTAGATGTAGTAGATATATTGAACCGACACTGATTTGTTATTTAAGCAAGTAGACTGGATCCGAGAGCTTGACCACGTTGAGACAAGAAATATCAAGAAAGAACAATTGATGACCTTAGTGTTCCAAAAATTGCTACGTGTGACCTGCGCAAAAATTGCTACGTGTGACCTGCGCAGGTCAACCAGATCATATAAGGTACTAGCCTAGTAGGCATGATCAAATTGAAATACACTTGGGCAACCAAATAGAAACTACCAGAAAGGAAGGAGACTGCATGCAGTGGTTTTTAGATCAGAGGACTAGAGTTAAGTTGATGCAGGAAACAGGGTGTTGGGTCTTTGGTTGTTGGCTGAACTGCTGAAGGTCTTTGGGCATCTAAAAATAAGGATTAAGAAAATCTTGTTGTAATTTCAACTCTCGCCTATTGATAGGTAACATTGAAGTGGCTGATAAAATAAGCCATTGACAGAATCTAAAACGCTTCTAGATTCTGTTAATCTTTAAAACCATAATATTAACATAGCATAACTATGATGCAAACTAATCTTTAAAATAAACTATTATGTGTCAATATACATATACACATTATAATACCTTGAATACTGAGAGGATTGAGAAGCTCCAGGTCATAAATGGCTTTCTCACAGGTGCTCTCCTTGTTGGTGGCATGTCTTTATAAAACTGTTGGGCAATCTCCTTCAGCAGAACCAGTTGAGCTTTCTCAGTCTGCATTGAAATAATTGTCTGCCTCATAGACTCCCTATCAGCTTCTAGTGCTTGAAGCCTCACATACAACTTTGTTATATCAGAATTTTCCATATGTGTGTAGTTCAATGAATCCCTTGGATTTGTTGTATAACCAGCACCTATCTCTATAGATGTTTTAGGATTTGTTACACCATTGCATGCTGCCCCTAGATGAACGGAATCAATTGTGTAAACTCGGTCACTCGTAACACTTAGATCTTCATCTTCATCTTCAACTTCATTAACGCTGTTATTAACTTCCTTGAAGTTTGAGCATTCTTGTTCCTCTAAAACACCAACTGCTTCAAGTTCAGCATCGTTAGCTTCATTAGTTGGAAGGAATGTACTACGCATCATCACCTTTTCTATCATGTCTTTCTCATAAAACTCACCATCAGGAGGATGACTTGTCCCTGAACTCTTCTCCAACTGGTTGATCCTAGATTCCAGATCTTGCAATTGATCTTGTGAAGGTGGGATGATCTTCATAGACACTTCTTCCTCAACGTCCACAACCTCATTGTCGTCGTCAACATGATTCTGATTGAAGCATTTTACTGAAGGGTAATTTGAGGGAGGGAATTCGAAATCACTGCCGAACATCTCGGGTTTATTTGTATCACTGCCACACAAATGACTACAATCATTATAAGCTTCTGACTCCATGAACTCAAAACCAGTGATCCTCTGTTTATTCCTTTGAACCTCACATGCCAGTGAATGAATTACTTGCTCCCTGGAGTACAATAGGTTCTCCAGAGCAGCTAGCTCCTGCTGGTCATGTGCCATTTTCTCCTCGGTAAATCTCTTAAATTGCCTAAATTCCATCTGAATCTCTGCCTTTTCTCTTTGCAGCTTCAAGATCATTGACATTGCCTCGTTGGTTGCTGAGAAGGCAGCATTTCTCTCCTCATCCAACTCCATTCTCAAGGCTTGAATGTTAAGCTGCTGGCTGCAGACCATTTCACGAAGGGCAACACATTCATCCCATATCCCAATCTTTGCTGTCTCAGGTAAGATGTTCTTATGTGCGGTATCATCACACTCTTCATGCTTTCGCTTCACAGAACGTAACCAGGTACCACAGAAGGGCCCATTCACCAAAGAACAGTTGCAGTCACACTCACAGCACTTGAACTGGCCACTCGAGGAGGGCGACTTATTGTCAAAATCCATACTTTCATAAAGTATGGAACAAATCCACAGACAAGAAATGCACAACCAATATCTCAGAAAACAAAACACAAGGGCAAAGCATTCAACCAATTAAAACCATATACAGCAAAGCTCAAACCCCTAGTTCTGTTTGATTATAGACATAGAAAAACCAACAGATTCTCCTCTACTCCGTAGTAGTACATAAGTTTTCTAAATCCTCAATCACAATCACAATATCAATAAGATTCCTGCAGAAGTGACAGCACGAACTATTAATTCTCGTCCCAGCAATTATCCTGAAAGAGTATGCGCACAATACACACACATAGAGGCAGATAGAGATACCTGGAAACTGGAGGAGAAAGGGCGAGGACTTGCAAATGAAAGTTTCCTCTTGGAGCACGAATTAGGATAAACTATTGAGTATATACCCAGAAACTATGAAATTGAAGGAAGAGTGAGAGGAAGTGGGAAAGAAAACACGATGAATCAAGAAGGCAAAGAGACCGGTGAATTCTCGAATACTCAACCCTAACTTTGGGGAGAAAAAGAAGAATCGTAACGTTGCATCGTGTTCCGCGTCCGGGAATTTTCAATTTTCAGGAGAACGAGAGAGAATCACATTGGCGGACAGGATACGATGGGGTCAGCTTTATTTGTAATGATAAAATGAGATGAAGAAACATTGGCTGTAATTATCGAAGTCCTCCTCCCTCCTCATGATTGCAGGTCCGGGGAAAGCACTGTATCTGCCGCGGGCGTGGTCGTTAAACGGCCGGTAAAAAACTTAACTGCATACTTCGTATATGACTGCTAACTCATTACCTGAATGGAATAGTATTAGTATGCATTGAAAGGCAATGATAAATTGATACTTCCTCCGTTCTTTAATAAAAGCCCTTCTTTCCGTTTTGGGACGTTTTTTTTTATTTGTCCTCCTTTCCATTTAAGGAAAGTTTTTACTTTAAATATACCTTTATACCCCCACTTTTATTACCATTACCCCTTTCTCTTTCCTACTTTTTCATTTACCCACTACTCATTACATCTTTTACACTACCCCTACTATTTTCCTCTTAAAACCCGTGTCAAAGCCTAAGAGGACTTATATTAAAGAACGGAGGGAGTAATAATTTTTTGGCTAAAGGATCAAATAGACCCCTGCACTTGTTCGGATTGCTCAATTCGCACCCCGAACTCAAAAAAGCTTCAATTCACCCACTGAACTTGCCAAAAAAATTCAAATCCCATTTTTTGCAGGTGAGTTTCCGGTCATTGCCACGTCAGCCGGTTAGATGCCAACCGTGCATCCCACGTGGAAATCTAAGGGGTCAAATAGACCCCTGAACCCGACAAAGTTGTTCAATTTACCCCCCCAACCGTTAAAAAGTGTCCAAATTGTCATTAAAAAAATAGAAAATATAAATATAATTAATATACAAGTTCATAATATAAAATATATGAGTCTATTTATAATATGACGATAAAATATTTATATTTTAGGGTAAATTTAATATTTTTCAGTATTTAGGAGTCTATTTATAATATGACAAAATATTAAAAAATTTGATATTAATTTATAAAAAATGTATGGTTGATTTTTTAAATGGATTGAAAATATCAAAATATTTTTAATGAATTTGTTTGGTTTTATGTGAATTTAACGCAAAAAATAAGGATATATTTATATTTACAGTAAATTCATATAAAATAATTTAAAAGAAATTCATTAAAACTATTTTCATATTTTTAATATGTTTTAGATTTATATGTAAAGTTACACACACACATGCACACATGCATATATGTATATATACTTCATATTATTTTATTCTAGAATCATATATTGCGTACTATACTTCATACTAATTATAATTAACATAAAAATTTTGTACTATATAAAAATTATAATATGTAAATAGATAGGGACTACTACATTTTTATAATATGTATTTAAAAAATAAGTACCTTCATTATGTTTATATATATATATATTTAATTTACCCTAAAATATAAAAATTGTCTTATTATAAATAGACATCTATGTTTTATATTATGAACTTTTATATCATTTTATTTTATTTTTTCTTTTTTTTAAATAGAAATTTCATATTTTTAATAGCAATTTGGACACTTTTCAACGGTTGAGGGGGTAAATTGAACAACTTTGTCGGGTTCAGGGGTCTATTTGACCCCTTAGATTTCCACGTGTGATGCAGAGTTGGCATCTAACCGGCTGACATGGCGATGACCGGAAATTTACCTGCAAAAAATGAGATTTGAACTTTTTTAGCAAGTTCAGGGGGTGAATTGGAGCTTATTTGAGTTCGGGGTGCGAATTGAGCATTCCGAACAGGTACAGAGGCTTATTTGACCCTTTAGCCTAGTTTTTTAAATTTTTTTTAGTAAAGAACTAAAGATGGGGTACATTTTATTCTTGCATTTTAGTTGCACCAATTTACTGGAAACGGAAAAGTCCAATAGTTTTTCAAAAACACCTTTTTTCCAAGATTAATGCTAATTAAATAAATAATTCCCAAATACTATTGGATTAAAAGTTGTTAGGGTTAACTGTGATTAAGGAAAGCCATCACTTGAAGTGACAGTTCTTCTATCCATTACAAAAGTTGTTAGTCCAAGTGACGACGGCTCTTGTGCGCACTTAGTACAACTGTACAACCACAATCTATTCAATGTAGAAACAATAAAAAACAATGCTCTCTATAGTCCTGTTAACTCAAAACAATCATACATATGCTCTTTATAGTCAATATGTACATTGCAAAAAAACAAAACGCCACAATATTGCAAATTACGAATATCACAAGTCAACGTGATCATTATCATAAAGCTCATGTGGTTTTGGCTATGGATGTGCCTGTGGTCGGGGGCGTCTACGCTCGTTGTCGAGGCAGAAGAACAACCCTATCACGTAGTGTTGTGTTTCAATGTGGTTCCATTGATTTATTTAGTGTCTCACATATGTTTTATTTTTTAGTAACGTATATTGACTATAAAAAGCAATGGTGTGATTGTTTTGAGTTAACTGTACTATAATTAAAGAGCACATTTTTTGGTTATTTTACGCTTGATAGGTTGTGGTTGTATTGAATGTGCACAAGAGTCGCCACTTAGACTGGCGGCTTTTGTACTGGAGAGAAGAACCGCCACTTCAAGTAGTGGCTTTCCTTAACCGAAGTTAACTTCAACAGTATTTTGAGAATTATTTATAACTCAATAGTGTTTTGTGAATTATTTATTTAATTAGCATTAATGGGAAAAAACCTCTTTCAAAACTCAATAAATTGGGGTATCCTAATATCCTATGATTATGATGTTAATATATGAAAGTGCATGCAGAGGCGGCCTCAGAAAATTCGAGGCCCTAGACGGCTAGGCAAAAGAACATTGCGAAAATTCTATAAATAAAAACAATAAAGAAAATAATTGTATAAATGTGATTATATATTCTATCAATCCAAACAAAATTTACTTTCAAAACAAATGTTTCAATGTTAAAATTAATTTCATAAAGTGTAAAATGTATAAATTTCACATAACCTAATAAATCTATACTTTTATGATAGTATTTTTAATAAAGGACATCTTCATATCATTTTCATATTATCAATACAACCAAAAATTATGTAATTGGTCAAATTTTAACATCATTGACTTGCAAAATCAAATATGGCTGAATAGAAAGGAAAGAATGCAGTATTATTTAAGAAAAATATAAAAGTAAATTCTCTAAATTTTTGGCATAACTAAAGATAAATTTAATAATATAAGGACATAAATTAATCAGTAGAACTTTTCACATGTCTATAAAAATTTTAGCATTATAAATGACTTAGTTTAATTACAATTAGTTTGAATACAATTTTATGTCATTACTATTTATTTATTTATTTATTTTATTATTTTTATAAAAACATTACTAAAAATGAGGTCCCTTTAGAGGTGGAGGCCCTAGGCACCTTGCCTAGGGTAACTCCCCCATAGCCGCCCCTGAGTGCATGTTATCGTGTTATGGTGTAGTACGATTTTTCTATTTTCTAGTAGAGTAAATAATAATGTAGATAAAGTAAGAGATGTGGTAAAAATATGTAAGAGAACTAAAACATTAAATACTACTCCGTATGTATTTAATATGAAAGAGTAATAATATGTATTTACTTGTAGAAAAAGTAAAGGTAATTGAATATGTTTAAAGGAAAAGCTTACCAAATGGGAAAATGCAACAAACTTTTATACAATGTACATATGAAGCATGATTCTTTTTTACTCTTTTTTTTAAGACGAGGACCTCTTAGATCCATAATCATCATTATTTAAAGGGAAAATAAAAACTAATAATCCAACCTTTTAGCGGTCTTTTTACAATAGTTCCACCTTTTTTTATTTAGAAATAATCCAACCGTTGCGCCCCATCTTCATTCGCTGGTCTCGGGCCGGTTGATGACCTCCTATTCCAAGTTATTTTCTTATCTTTGTAAACTTTTATACAATAATCCCACCTTATGGTCAAATAATGTTTTGTAAAGATAAGAAAATAACTTAGAATAATAAGTCATCAATCGGTCAGAGACCTTGAATGAAGATGAGGTGCAAAGGTTGGATTATTCCTGAATAATGAAAAAGATGACTATTGTAAGAAGACCGCTAAAATATTAGATTATTAATTTCCATTTTCCCTTATTTCAATCATACTTCACAAACGAACACATACATCAAATTACACTAACTTGAAAGCAATTCAACTATAGAAATATGGCTAAAGGGTCAAATAGGCCCTTGAACTGACTTAAAGTGTTCAATTAGCCCCTTATATAGGAGGTTCTGCCCGGCCGTCGCTAATTGGGGTAGTTCCCGGTGTAATTTTTTGATGAATTTTTTTGAGCATCTTTTTCAGTAAGTCTAGTTTACCCATACCAAATTTCAGCTAAAAATTCAACCAGGAAGGCAGTCAAATGATTTTCTGAAATGTACTGTGCTGTTTAACTTCGCAGTTACCTTCAAAAAATCATTTGACGGCCTTCTAGGTTCAATTTGTAGCTGAAATTTGGTATGAGAAAACTAGACTTAATGAAGAAGATGGTCAAAAAATTTCATCAAAAAATTCCACCGGGAACCGCCCCAATTAGCGACGGCCGGGCAGAACCTCCTTTATAAGGGGCTAATTGAACACTTGAAGTCAGTTCAAGGGCCTATTTGACCCTTTAGCCTAGAAATATTGATACTAGTGTGTGGACAATCTAAAAAAGTAATGGCCAAAATAATTTACTACTATACTAATTCATTACATTTCGTCGAATCGATATAATAATAAGATGTTTTTTTTAAAATTTTACTATAATAGAATTTATTTACATTAAATATGGTTAATAAATATGGTTAATAGTTATTGTAGTATACTCTCATGGTTACTCAAGTGTAAATTTTGAATCTAAATCTACTTACTTCTACTTACTTAATAATAAAGTACAACCTTTCATTATCAATTAATTGATATTGAGTACAATTAGTGAATAGTCATCAATTGCAATTAATCCCTAAATTCATTGGAACATTAATTTTCAATAAATTACAAAAATAATATATTCAATCCACTTAGAGAGAATACATATAATTGAATATTTTAAAAATACATATATTTTTTATCGTTAAAAATACATATAATTGAATAATATACATAAGCCCATTGAGCCCAGGGAGCACCTCAGGCCCAAATACAACGGCCCAAGCTTCAAAGGAGCCCATAACACACACTGGGATGCCTTCGGCCTCCTTGGCCGAAGGCTCCAGAACTCACAGGATAGCCTTTCCGGCATAAGAAGCTGCTGGGGTGAAAACGGCGAAAAACATGAGCCTTCGGCATTATCAAGCCCTCGGCACCAGGAGAAGCCCTCGGCTGAACCAAGCCTTCGGCTACACATTGAGCCTTCGGCCATACAAGGAGCCCTCGGCTACACGAGGAGCCTTCGGCTGGACTAGCTCAATCATCGAAGATTCCTTTTGGAGACAGCCAACCACCGCATTTAATACCACGTCACATCCGCCAACCGCATTCAATGCGGCGAACGTACCACTGCCGGTGCCAACCGGCTGATGTGACCCTTCGGCCGTTGGATTACTGACACGTGTCCCCTCATCGCATTTATTGCTGCTATAAATAGCAGCCCATTTCTCCTTGTAATGAACATGATCTACACACAACTCCATATCTCGAGTTCATTTAATAAATCGACTCTCTCTCCTCCTATTTGCTCTGACTTCTCTCTAGTTATCCCCGCAATAACCCCTCGGATAAGATACCCCCCGGGTAAACGATCCATCACACCCGAGGGCTTCCGCGCCTATTATGCCATCCGCTTCTCCTTCAAAGTCTCCAACAACGAGGCCGAATACGAAGCCCTCCTCTGTGGCCTTCGGCTGGCAGCCAATCTGAAGGCCAAGATGATCCACGTCAAGTGTGACTCCAAACTCGTCGTGGGTCAAGTTTCCGGGGAGTACGAGGCCAAGGAAGGGAGGATGAAACAATACAAAGAAGCGGCTGAGGAATTGCTCAAGGTATTTGAGGCACATTCCCTCACCCAAATACCGAGGGCCCAAAACTCTGAAGCCGACATTCTATCCAAGCTCTCGGATGAATCCCCCGAGCACCTCTCAAAAATTGCGAGAATCGAGGAACTCAGCCTCTCAAGCATCCACGCGAGCCCCGTCATGAACATCCACCTAAGGCCAGAGGATTGGATCTCCGACATCATCACCTTCATCACCACAGGGCAACTGCCCCAAGACGAGGCACGCGCCAAATTAGCAAAACTAAGGGCTCCCAGCTACACCCTCGAAAACGGGAGGCTTTACAAGAGATCTTACAACGGCACCCTCCTTCGATGCCTTCATCAAGATGAGGCCGAAGTCGCCATGGAGGAGGTGCACAGTGGCACTTGCTCAGCTCACCAGGGACCCTTCTCCATGTCCCGAAGGCTCATAGTTCAGGGCTACTTCTGGCCCACGATGGCTAGAGATTGTGCTGATCTAGCCCGAAGATGCACTGCGTGCCAACACTTCCAGAAGGCCCCCGACAGGCCAGCGGTCAACTATGCCCCCATTAGCACCGCTATACCCTTCTCCAGATGGGGAATTGACTTAGTAGGCCCTCTGCCGAGGGGGACCTCCAACAACAGGTACATCATCGTTGCCATTGACTACTTCACCAAATGGGTAGAGGCCGAGCCCCTCGCCAGCATCACTGAAGCCCGGTGCCGCCACTTTGTTCTCAAAAATATTCTCACGAGGTTTGGCGTCCCCCAACAAATCATCTCTGACAACGGGACTCAATTCGAGGCAGCCCCCTTCTGTGCCCTTCTTGAAGCTTGGGGCATCAAGCACACATTCTCTTCCGTTGCCTACCCTCAGGGCAACGGGCAAGTAGAGAACGCCAACCGCACCCTCCTCGAGGGGTTGAAAAAGAAGCTGGAAGCCGAAGGGGGAGGCTGGGTAGAAGAACTTCATAACATCCTATGGGCCTACCGCACCACCCCTCGGCGTGCAACAGGTGAGACACCCTTCTCCCTGTGCTATGGCTTTGAGGCTAAGGCTCCAACAGAAGTGACCCTTCCTACCCGAAGGGTGGAACAGTATGAGCCCGAGGTCAACGACACCAACATGGCCCTCGACCTTCATCTCATCTCAGAACGCCGAGAGCAAGCTTTCCTCAGGGCCGAAAACTATAGAAGACAAGTGAAAGGATACATCGACGCCAAGGTCCGCTCCCGGGAATTCCAGGTGGGAGACTACGTCCTCCGACGAAGGGAGGCCAGCCTACCCACCGAAGGCGGAAAGATGGCGCCTAAGTTTGAAGGCCCCTACATCATCTCAGCCATCATCAAACCGGGGACATACAAGCTTAAACGCCCCAATGGGACGGAGGTCCCTAGACATTGGAATGTGCACCACCTTGTCAAATTCTATCAATAAGGCATGAGCGGCCAAGCCCTCATCCTCAGCAAGTGTAAATATTGATGGCCCAAGGCCCCATCTGTTTTTGAAGAATAATCAAAAGGCCAAGCCTTCATCACCTACATATTGTGCAAGCGGCCCAAGGCCCCCCCTTTCTCTCCTACAAATGAGTGGCCAAGCCCTCATCGCTTCGCCAAAATAGGCCCAAGGCCTCTTCCTCTTAGGAGGGGGAACAACAATTTAGGTACCAAGTACCAAGTGCATGGGTCACCCCCATCACTCTATGAAAACACCAAGTGTTTTCTCATTAAGCCGTACCCCACGAGGACGCAACCATGCATACATTATGCATACTTTTACATACTCTCATAAAAAAAAAAAAAAAAAAAAAAAAAAAAAAAAAAAAAAACCGGGGGGTGCAATACCCCTCGGCTCCGGCTGGTACCAAGTACCCCCGGCTATTTGTGTCCCACACACAAATAAAACCCTTCCCAGGAACGCTTTCCGTGCCATCCCCCAAGGGGAGGCAGGAAACGGACCATGTCCCGGGCCCAGGATTCGACTTCCACAAACGAAACGCTCCCCGCGCTATCCCCCAAGGGGAAGCAGGCAACAGACCATGTCTCGGGCTGAGGGGACGACTTTCAAAACCGAGGCGCTTTCCGTGCTATCTCCCAAGGGGAAGCAGGCAACAGACGATGTCTCGGGCCGAGGAAACGACCCTCAAACCCTTCGGGATATCGGAAGGTCATTCCCGAAGGGGGAGCCAACGGTTTGTTCCGTTGCCTCCCACATAGGCCAAGCCTTCCCTAGAAACCAAGTTTCTAGATGCCTCTCCTACACCATCTAAAAAAAAAAAAAAAAAAAGAAAAAAAAAAAAAAAAAAAAAACAAAAAAAAAAAAAAAAAAAAAAAAAAAGATGTGTAGGGGGGAAGGAACTCCCCGGATACTATTTTCCCCGGAGGCTCAATACTTCGGATATACATTCCCGAAGGCTCCTACAAAGGCACAAGAAAATCTCTCTACAACAAGTCATCTGGCTACATAGCCGAAGGCCTCATTGCATGAAACATTGGAGTACAAGATTTCCCCCAAGAAGATTTCGGCTGGATCAAAGTGAACCATGTAACATGCCGAAGGCTACACAAAGTTCTAAAGCAGGCTAAACCAATGTCTACACAAACCGGTGGCTTCATGCCGAAGGCAGAATATCACCAGACTCATTTGAGGATGAAAAAATTTCTAAGTCCACAGATGGGAACCCTTCGGGGGCCTACATTGCCAATCAAGGGCATAGGATGTGATTTCACCTAGTGGAATTCCTAAGTCTAATTCATTTTATCCCTCGGCCTCACTACTACGAATGTCCGGGGGGTCCTGATTCTATGCTACAAACCAAGGCCTATATGTGAGTCCATAACCTTGAACCCCTCGACAACTATATGAACAGGGGGCTCAAACAATCCCCTCGATCGAAGGATCACTACAACACTTATTGAAACTTGGTTGAAAAACGACTAAGTCCACAATTAGGGGCCCTTCGGGGGCAAACCGAGATGCTATCTTCACCAACTTTCTCACAGCCGCCGGCCCCCCCCACTCTACTTGGGAGTGACCTAAAGCTACATTACGAGACGAAGGCTCGATGTGCCCGGGGGCATAAGGTACAATTGCGCTCCGAGAATTTCCTGAGTCTAATTCCGAAGGGTTCTGATCAAGTTTACTTGGAAGATTTTCTAAGTCCACAACAACAAGCTCCCGACAATACTACACTACAACAGGAGGCTTGCTGCCAGGAGTTTACACTTAGAAAGTTTTCCTAAGACCACAAATTTGTGGACCTCGGGAAACCAGGCAAAAGAAAGAAAACATGCACTCATACATAAATGAAAGCAAACAAAGGAGACATTCATGTGGAGAGCCCGAAGGCATATCATACATTCAACGGAGAAAATTGTCAAAGTACAAAAGGATGTTTGTTTACAAATGTGGCCGAAGCCGAGGCCTATCAACTATTACAAGTTTTAGCTTAGGAAGATATATATTCAAGGTTGGACTTCTTGAGCCACATCACCCTCCCGTTTGGAAACGGCATCGTCTTCAGCATCTTCATCATCCCCAGCCTCCTTCATCAATTCGGAGTCCTCGAGATCAGGCCGCTCCACGCCCGGGGGCAATGGAACCCTTGTATCCGGCTGAAGGGGGGGCAGGCCATGAGTCGAGGGGTCAAACTCCTTAGGGTCAACGCCAAGGTGCCTAGCGAGCCTCCGATAGACAAGCCATTGCGTGAAGAACTCGCCACCATCATAGTACTCTTTGCCTTTCCGGGCAAGCCACATTGCACCGGGCCCCCTAACCCACGCATCAACCGAAGCCTCCACAACGGAATCCACCCAAGGCTTCCGCTCCTCGGCTTGCCATCCCCCGGCGACGAAGGCAGACACTGCATCTCTCTCAGCTTGGAGCGCCGCCTCCTTCCTGGCCTCTTCGGCTTTGATGGCGGCAGCCTTAGCGGCTTCGGCGGCAGCTTCCTCAGCACTGGCCTTGCCTTTGGCCTCGGCATCTCTTAGCCTTTGTTCCACGCCCTCCTTCTCCAGCCGAAGGGCCTCCTCGGCGTCAGCAAGCCGCTTCCTGAGGGCGGAGATCTCCTCATCAGATTTCTTCAGGGCCTCGTCTGCCTGGCCCTTTGCTATCCTAAGCTGCTCCACCCTCCGGACCTGCTCGGAGGCAGCCAAGGCAGCCTGCAAAAGAAAGAGGGGGGGGGGGGGGGGGGGGAAACCTCGGCGTCAGAAAATTCACATCATGAAGTTATATCCGAGAGACTTGAAAACTTTTTAAAGGAGAGAAGAAGGTTCACCATGGTAGTATAACTGGCGACTTTGTAATCAAGGATATCATCCTCGAAGCGAGCCAGCACGGACTTGTCCTTCGAGGACATTACCCCCCTCATGAACCCGACGGGGTGCAGAGTGCCATGCAAAACGGAGGTCCCCGACTTGATAGGGAACTGGACGATCTCCGCCGGCCGAATCTCCTCATCAAAAGGAGAGGGGGGAGAACGAGGGGGCGTATTAGCCGGGGGATGTGAAGAGGGCTGGTCCTCGGCTATCAGGATGGGGGCCTCCTTTCTCCCCTCACCACCCTTCTTCTTCTTTTTCTCCGGAGGCATGACGCCCTTCCCGGTATTCTTTCGCTTCAACTCCTCGATCTTAGAGCCCCCAGCCCCCACCTGGGCATCGGCGTCACCCTTTGAAGGGCCCTCAGCGTCTTTGTCCTTAGAAGCCCCCGGCTTCTGGAAGAACTCGTCAACGGCCTTCTGTGAAGGAGGCCCCACTTTCTTTTTGGCCTCCTTCGCCATTTGCTTCTTCAGTAGGGCAAGCGACTTGGCATCCATGTCCGGACCTGTAAAAAAGAGAAAAAGAGATAATATAAGCATACAGGTGACAGGTTACGAATGCAAGACAAAGAAATATCCAAGTACAAAATAAGGAGCCTCCGGTAAACACCTCCAATGCTTTGGTAGACTCGGTCAATCACGGGGAGTGTCTCATCCTTATCCCCCGGCAGACGGTACCGACGAAATCCCAGCTTGTACATCTCTTCCGGAAGGGTGGCCGCCTTAATAGACATCAGCTTATCCGATCCCGTCGGCTTCGCCGCCAGCTTTTTGCCATTTTTATCAAGGGAGGCATTCCGGACCCTTAAATGTCTTCGGAAGTGATGGCGGAGAGGCTCCGGGAAAGGATTAGCGGCCATACGGAGATAGCAAAACTTCTCTTTCCAACCCTTATGTGACGAGGGCACCTCAGAAAAAATCCTCCATTCAGGCACCTGCTGGAGGTTGGCGAACCCTTCGCTGTTAGCATGCCCCCCTCGGCACAAGTTGAAGCTCAGGAAGAATTGGTCCAACGTCGGCTCCACCTCCCGGCTTCGGCACTGCGACAGGAACCCGCTAATATATGAATGGCTATTGGGGGTAAGTTGGCAGGGGGCCAGTCCCACGAACTTGAGATACTCCAGCAGAAAGGGGTGGAACGGAAATCGAAGGCCTAGATCCACGGAAAGTATATGCACTGAGAAGCACCCTTCCGGAGGATTCAGCAGCAAATCATTTGGCCCCGGTTCAACTACTTGTGCGGAGGGTCCTACGAGGACCTGAGTGGCCTGATAGTCGGAGGCTGTGGCCTTCGTCTTCAGCGCAAGGGCCGCTGTGTTCAGATACGAATGGCCCTCGGGTATTCCCACCGGTTGACCCGCGTCAATGGCAGCCTGCTTTTTCTTCGGGGCCGCCAGGATCTTCTTCTTCTTTTTCCCGGGGGCGACACTTATAGGTTCCGGGTCCAGGGGCCGGGAGCTACTAGCTTCACCGGCGCCACGAAGAGGGAGTGCGGCGACGGTCACCTTCATCCGCTCCTTTTCCTCCTCCTCCTCGGCCACTTGGAGGGCGAGGGCAAGTTCTTCGTCTTCAACGACTTGCTCAAAGTCTTCGGCTTCGGCCTCAGTCCTGAGATTATCTTGGACTTCCAGCGCCACTGCGGAATCAGATTTGCCCGAGGAGGTCTCAGTCGAGGACTCCACGTCCGAATAGCCCTCTTGTTGCACCGAGGGCTCCCTCGAGATATCTTGAGAATCGCTTTGGGTTGACATTTTACCGAAGAGGAGTTGAAGGGTTTAAGGGAAGAAGGCTACTTAATGCTCTAAACCAGAGGCCCCCAAAAATTCGCTAACACTAAATCAAATGGGGGAAAAGGCAAAGTATGCTAAGGAATTCGAAGAACTGAAGAAGAACTGACCTCGAAAGTTGCTTTTGATCGAAGGGATTACTTTCTCTCTCCAGAAATTGGGCAGAGCTTCGCTATAGCTTAAGGACGCACAATGGAAATGGCTTGGGACTTGGGGTATTTATAGGCTTTCAGCCTCGAGAACTGGGCCTCGATTTTAAAAAGGCCATCATTACGGGCCGCCGGTTCAACCAATGGGTGGCACCCGCCCCCCATCTGCCAACGACATAGCGCCACGTGGAACCCTCCTCCAACGGCTATATTACAACGACTATATTTCGGCAGCACTGGGAGGCCCTCGAATGATAGCCTCCGGCTATCACTCACCACAGCCTTCAGCCAATGAATTCCAACATAGCGCCTTCGAGCTGGAAGCAATAAGAGCCTTCGCTTGTCAATATTGCCACTCCTCGACGCGTATATTGGATGGTTACCCCCGGCTACCACCTGCGAGAGGCTTCGAACAGATAATAGTATAAGCCTTCGGATAACCCTCGGGGAACCCAGCAACACATTATAACTCCTTCAGCCCGAACTTTCCTTCGGCCTAAAGGAGTGGGGGACTGGGATACACCCCTCGGGAATCATACAGAACAAAGATTTCTTCATACAAACAATTTACAATTGACGCGTGCAGCCTCCGGACAAACATCAAAGTGGAACCCCTTCGGCGGGGGCAGAGTATCAGTATTTCTCCCAAGTCACTCGAGAAAACGAAGCAGCCTTCATCACAACACATACAAATATTATTTGCACCCCCCTCAGAAAACCCTCGACATGTGGGGGACTGAGGGAGGCCTTCGGCAATCAGCAGAAGGCGAGTTCTCAAGCAAAGACGCCCAACCAAATGCTGAAGCCTCCAGAAGAATCAACACAACTACTCCTTTTCCCTCAAGTACCTTTCGGCAAAAGGAGTGAGGGACTCCTGATGGAGTATATGGCCCAGGAGCCCCCGGCCCATAGACTCCTACTTCTCCTACATAAGCCCATTGAGCCCAGGGAGCACCTCAGGCCCAAATACAACGGCCCAAGCTTCAAAGGAGCCCATAACACACACTGGGATGCCTTCGGCCTCCTTGGCCGAAGGCTCCAGAACTCACAGGATAGCCTTTCCGGCATAAGAAGCTGCCGGGGTGAAAACGGCGAAAAACATGAGCCTTCGGCATTATCAAGCCCTCGGCACCAGGAGAAGCCCTCGGCTGAACCAAGCCTTCGGCTACACATTGAGCCTTCGGCCATACAAGGAGCCCTCGGCTACACGAGGAGCCTTCGGCTGGACTAGCTCAATCATCGAAGATTCCTTTTGGAGACAGCCAACCACCGCATTTAATACCACGTCACATCCGCCAACCGCATTCAATGCGGCGAACGTACCACTGCCGGTGCCAACCGGCTGATGTGACCCTTCGGCCGTTGGATTACTGACACGTGTCCCCTCATCGCATTTATTGCTGCTATAAATAGCAGCCCATTTCTCCTTGTAATGAACATGATCTACACACAACTCCATATCTCGAGTTCATTTAATAAATCGACTCTCTCTCCTCCTATTTGCTCTGACTTCTCTCTAGTTATCCCCGCAATAACCCCTCGGATAAGATACCCCCCGGGTAAACGATCCATCAATAACCTTGCCAACTTTCATTTTTTGGATGTCTCACTAATTTTGCCATTTTCTTTTTTAAGTAAAGAACTTGTGGTTTCAATTAATTCTCTCTTCCCTACACAAACCTCAACCACACAGTTTTTACTAATCTCCGTGCCGGTCAAACTTGGCAAAGTATTGAGGGACGGAGGGAGTAACTTAAACTACTTTATTTCATATTTGTAAATATTTAATCATATGCATCGTATAATTTTTATTCTACAATAATATTACGTTTCTTTTAATGACAATATTTATTTTTTAAAAGAAATAAAGAATAGATTGAATTTTCAAAAAATATGATGAATTTGATAGTTATTTACGAATAAGTGTATAATGATTAGTTTTCATTTTAAAATACCCATAAAACAATAGTTACTCTTAAAAGTATGCAATAAAAATGTTATGGCCCGTTTGGTGGTATACACATTAAAATTTTGCACGCAAAATGATTGCATGTAAAGTTAAAAGCAGTAAAATGGTTTACATGTAAAATAAAGATGCATCGTTTAGTTATGTATGTAATCCATTTTTAAATTACAGACTAACTATTTACCATGTTTTTTTTAAATAAATACCTTTACGTGTAAAATCTATATAAAAGGACTACATACTTCCGTATAGGAAGCCTCGATTGACCGATGACAGCTTCAATCACAAATTGAAGTGTGAAGGAATTTATCTCCAGGGTTCCAGCAAGTAGGAAAAACGTGCAACCTTTGATGATTATTAGCTTTGTGTTATTTAATTTGTCGATTATTATTAGTCTTTTTTATTTTGAGCCAAACAGATGCGAATCTGCATCATTTAACAGATTCAGGGTTGGTTTGCAACCGCTTTTAAAAAAGCACTTCTCAGCTTTTGGCTTTAAAAAAGTACTTATTTTCCCAAACACTACAACTTTTATTTTTCTCGGCTTCCGCGTCAAAAGTGCTTTTACTTTTTCTATTACACAAAAAGCACTTATTTTACCAAACACTACCCACTTTTACTTTTCAAAATCACTTTTTTCTCAAACACTATCAACTTTTATTTAATCACTTCTCCCCATTTCATTAAAAAAAGTACTTTTTTAAAAGCAGAAGTTGTTGCAAACAGACCCTCAATGGACTGCACTTTTGCTTTGCCGCATGAGTCTTTAAAGAGTTCGGTCTAGGCTGAAATCGAGAACTCAATGCTCCGGTATATGTATTCTCCCTCTTATAAACGAACGTAAAATAGTTTACCCTTCCCCACGTAAACTATTTTACATGTTACAGTGTAAAATGTTATTTAAAAAGTGTCTTACAGTTTACATTAAATAATTAAAACAAATGATGTAAAATATTTACATCTCCACACTTTACACGCAAAGTGTTTACTTTACATCATAACAAACAAGTCCTTAGTGTGTTCAAACATATGAGGTAATGATTAAAACCTAACTGATGAAAAATATGTGATCAAAAAGTTAGTGTATTCAAAATTTAAGAGGTAGTGATTAAAACTCAATTGATATATTTTTATCATTTATTTTCAAAATTGACATTTTACATTGACTAATAAAATTACATTCCGAATCATGCTTAAAATAGGAGAACCATTTAATACTGATTGAGAATTGAATTAATACTGATAAAGTATAGTATAATAAAAGTATAGTATAATAAGTAAATTATGACTATTAAATAAATAGAAATCATATTTATCTATATGTTTATATTCTTCATAAAGTTATAGGATTAGTATTTTATACTAAATAAATTGAATTAATTTCAATTTTTTGCACTATCCATATTCATTACATGTATAGATTATTGAGTTAAGGAATTGAAATAGTATTAATCAAATATGTAATATAATAAGTTTATTATTAGAACATACACATCGTGAGATCTTCGAATTAAATATAAAATCTTTTTTCCATATTTTGTTAGTCTCCATAATATTATCGAATTGAAACTTTGTATTGTGTGCGTGCATTAGGGGTATTGGGAAAAATTCGTTCATGAATTGAAAAGTTGTGTGCCTATGTTTTTATTTTTTATTTCTGAAGTAATTTGTTGTCATCATGCCAATAAGTTTCTCTCATATCATATCATTGTTCGTTGTCTCGATGAATTTAGAGTTTCAATAAGTGTTTGGGTCTAGTCTTCTGGAGAAAAACAGAAGGAAATAAACCTGGAGGGAGACCGGCTCTGTCCACATCGAATGCTACGTCTGTTGGGGTGTGGTTGCCAACTTGCCATATGGACGAATACAAGGTTGCAATTTCTATGGAAAGGATAGACACACCATCCCTAAGGCCCAGTTTGGATTCAAACGAGTGGATGTAAGGGGAGAGTCAAGGAGGGAAGGAAAGGGAAGAAGAAAGAAGAATTTTGATTAAAAAAATTGTGTTTGGTTGGAGGAAATATGAGGAAAGGTTTAATGAAACATTTTCCTAATTTACCTTTGCTTGATAACTTACTTAAGAAATAGATACATTTTGATCTAACTATTGTGAATATTACTCCTAAGGTCATAAGTCATACTCCGTAATATTTTTTAATTTTTAATTTTTAATTTTTTATTTCTAAATTTTAAAATTTAAAATTTAAAATTTTTAAATTTTTAAATTTTTTAAATTCTTTAAATTTTTATTTTTTTATTTTTTTATTTTTTTATTTTTGAATTTTTTTACAGTTTACAAACTCAAATATTGGTTGGCAAGAGTTATCAAACTCAAATATTGCTCATTAACGCCTAAGTGAATGGTTCAAGTCGGGTTGTGTCCTCCTCTGATGAGGACTAAATACTTTTAATGATATTCTACTTGATTTGATACTTGCTTGGCTACTTCATTAATTTGCAAACACTTCTTTTTTCGGTGCTGTTTTGGTTCTTGATGTTTTCTTTTATGTGATGACAAAAGGGGGGAGAATCAGGTGCCATATTTTGTGCGGTGCTCTTGCTACTCCTAACAGTTTTATATGCCCTGTAATGGTATACCTTGGAATGATGAGTTACCTTATTTCATTTTTGGGGGCCTAAGGTTTGTCATCAACAACAAAAGGGGAAATTTGTTGCATATTCTGTTTTGTTGATTACTAATCATAATCATTATTGGCTAAGTATACAGGTTCTAGGTGCCAAAACATGGTTGAATTAATTTTTCATATATTTTGTCCTTGGGTTGGGGTGCCTTTTGTGAGAGCTATGTTGTAAAGGTGAGAGTCTCCTTACCCGCAAGGTAATGAAGAAAAAACTCTACCTGGAGAGGACAAAGTTGAGATGGTTCAAGGGTAGACTAGAAAAGTTTATCTTGTAACCATTTCAAAGGGTTTTTAGTGAAGTTGTTTCAAATTTCTCTAAGGGAGGTCAAGTTTCTTAATCCATTTTGAGCCAAGGGATTTTTCCTGGTTAAAATATTGTGTCCTTTGTTTACTTGCTTTTCCTTTGCCCCACAATAGAACTTGACAAAAAACTGTCATAGTTCTAC